GCTAGAAAAGCACTGACTGTACAACTCGTTTTGTATTTGATGGTGTAATTGTTAGATCAGGAGTCCTTCAGGGACCACACTCTGCGTCGCTCTTATTTCTTATTTATGTTAATGATATTAAGGATGTTGAACATAGATTAAAAATTTTTTTGTTTGTTGATGACATCAAATGATATAAATGTATATGGCGCTTTGGGTTGTTTCTGTCAAAGAAAGGATAGGAAATCATATCCAAAAGATTTCGAAGTGACAAGTCTTATTTTTAAGGCAAATTTATCATAGTGGAGCGCTCTGTATGTAAAAGACGCAAACGCTGAATTTTCATCTAAAATATTTCCAGATGCGTCACAAAGTGTAATTAAACATTCTAACGTGGATGATTATTTGTCAAGCCAAAAAACCCTAGAACAATCAAAAAATTTAATTAAAAACGTAATTAATATAGATTCAAAAGTAACTTTTTTCATGCATAGTTGGACTAGTAATTTACGTTTGTTCGAAGAAAAACCCGATGACTATATTCAAAGCGCTTAATAAAAGCTCTTGAGTGGAAGAGAGGGAAAGCCAGCAAAGCGCAAATTTTCGAAAATAATCATGGCTGTTTCTGATTCTCTTGGTCTAATTAGCCTCTTTACTTAAATGATAAAAATTATCATGCAAAACATTTGGGGGAAGAAAATTAATTGTGATAAGTTAATTCACGATAAAAAGCAGGAAAAATGAATAAAATGGCTAAGCTGCTTGTAAGAGTTGAAAAATCGTTTCACCCAATGTTATATTTATCTGAGAAATAGAACTATAAAAACTGTGAAATTGCATGTTTTTTGCGATGCGAGTGAATTGGCATATGAAGCGTGTACTTACATTTATTTCAAATTAGATACTGGACCGGCTTATATTTCATTAATTGTGGGTAAATGTAGAGTCACACCTATTAATAATAAATAAGAGCTAAAAATTAAATGCGAAAGACGGGTACTGTGGACAGATTCGCAAACGTTACACCAATACATAGGTTTCGAGCATCGTTTGTGTCACGTATATATAGCTCATCGTCTCAGAGAAATAAATGAACTAACATCAGTTAATGAGTGGTGATGGGTGCTATCTAAAATGAATCCAGCTGATTGCATAACTCGAGATAACTACGAACTAAGTAAAATGCAAGAAATGTGGTTTGAAGAGCAACAATTTTTTTAAATTCTTGAAGATCATTGGCCAATAAACAACACTTAAAAAAAAAAAAAAGGAAAAAGGAAAGTCGATAACTTGGAATTAAAAAATAAGCATGTTGGTGTCATGATGTTTAAGAAAGAAGACTTACCTTTAAAGGTCGTTGGTTTGTATGGCACCGTTTTTTAGCTTTAGCTATTCGTGTCAAATAATGCTTTACTAAATGGTGTTAATAGCGAAAAAAAAAATTAAAAACAAACGGGCATTAAAAATTAAACCGTAAATTTCACAAAACTAATTTACAAAAGGAAAATTTTGTTTATTTTTTTTGTGTTGTAAATTTTATTATTCACATGTCATAAGCTCAGAGTTTCCCAAACGAAATAATATCATGCAAAAAAAATATTGAGATTAAAAAAAGTAAGATCGCTTTGTCATGCCATTTTTAGACGAGTCTGGTCAGTTAAGAGCGTTTGGCTTATAGGCAGAGACAATGTAGTTATTGCGAGGTTGTGACGTTGCACTTTCGCGCCCTGAGACACTATAGAGTGTCGCAGCCAGGGCGGTCCCGAGACAACGTCCAAAGACACTATCGCCAATAATCTCGCCAAAGTCCGCCGTATCCTGAAACGCGAAAAACAACCCCTGTCCCCACGCTCACGATGTCCGCTGCTTGGCCCAGGAGACTCGTCTCTGAGGAGGTCCTGCCGGCGGTAGTCCGTCGGGATCGGACTACTCTCCCAAGGAAAAACGAGGCGCGACCTGTAAAATCGGAAGGAGGGAAAAACACATGCACGACCACAACGAGCTAATGATTTTAAGAACACTTCACTTTTTTTTTGGCGAACTTTTACACGTGGGCTTTTAGGCCCGAATCTTGGCGCAATCCGGCGCTATCGCAATAATCTGCGACAATCACGCTTCCCCACGGACTCTCTTGTTCTCGCACTCCACGGTTTCTGGGGGAGTCCCGCACTACTCGATCCCCCAACACACACGTAAGGACACTCACATGCTCGCACACTCTACTTTACTCTTACCTCCGGGTTCACCATATTCCGGGTCAAATCAGCTCTTGGCCTGTCGATGCCCTGGTCTCGCAGATGACAGCTGGGGGTGGCGATGGTCCGCGTCTCCTCGGTCGTCGGTCGCAAGGTCGTTCCCGGCTGGCTTGAAAAACTGATTCTCCGCTCTTCTCCTTCGCTCTCTCTCTCGATCCTCTCTCTCTCGATCTGTGCTACCGGAAACGCGAAAACTCGGAAAGCTCTAGTTCGCTCGAAGGCTACTGCAAGAGTGTCGTTAGGCCCACCAATTAGTGCAGCCTCGCGCATTACCGCACTATATCTCTATACATACTTCTGGTTCTTACCGCCAGGACATTATTCATACGCACTCGAACGCGACGCAATTTACAATATATACTCTTAATACATACAATCTTCGTCGATAAAGAAGTACTGGATTATGACATTGGCGCGGTAATTACAAATATTCTTTAATACGCAGAACTATACATTCTTGGGCTTTTCTTCGGCGCTATGTCTCCTCTTCTCTCCTTGGCGCTACTCCTTGCATCCGATTACTCTCACGTAGAACATGAAACACACAGACCCGGACCTTTATTAGCTTCTTATAATGAAAATAGATTCCACGTTGATGACGCGTTTCGGCGCTTAATGCTATAGGTCAGAGAAAAATGACTCCGTCATAAGGTTGATTATTTTTTCCCATTCTTGTCAAAGTAAAACGAAGCCAAGTAAAGCGATGCGGCGTATTATTTACATGCCTGACAACAAGAGCTATTTAATTAGAAGAAGCACGTAATTTATCAGCAATTTCTGCAGTTATGGCGTCGCAGTGTTTATCCAGTCGTCGTACTTTTCCTTGAACAATGTATAACGACAACAGTACTAAATTCAAAGCCAAGTCCACTGAGCTTAACGAGGAAATTGCAAGTATAAATAAAGATAAATTGTATAATATGCTTTATTAAATGGAGTGCATTGGATTTTTAATCCCTCTGACACGCCACGTACGGGTGGAGCTTGAAAGCGCTTCATAATATCTATTATAGTGGCCCGTAATGTTATTTTGAAAGGAAAAATAAATTTTGCGATAAAGTATTACACACAGATTTTACAGAAATTGAGCATACCTCTCGGCCATTGGTTTACATTTTTTTTGATCCTCGAGACAATGGGGCCTTACGCCTATTCACTTTTTAATTGGATCTTCATCCAGAGAATTAAAATTATGTCCCTTAGTGGATCAAAATTTTATCAATATAAGGCAACAATAGAAATTAGTAAAATCAATCTCTGACAGTTTTTGGAAAAAATGGCTACAGCAATATTTGCCAACTCTGGTACATCGAAAAAAATGGTTTGTACAGACAAATGTTCTAAAACTAAACGATTATATCATTATTGTTTTTGCAAGCTCTCAGAAATATGTGAAAGAAGAAGAAAGTTTTAGAAACTTTTGCGGGTAGTGATAATATTATAAAAGCGGTAAAAGTGCGCACAAATGGCGGCGAGTTATTTCGGCCAGTGACTAAAATAATACACATTTCCGGTGAGTAATACAGTAAAAATAAAAATCAATTTGTACAAGGAAGAGTTTGTTACTAGCATTTGAAGACTTTCGTTATCCAGCCAGCACATAGAAAGGAATTGCAAAACATTTTGGACCTCATTTATTTGCATGCAAGTCTTAAAAGAGCTCAAGTACTTACAAGCTCTTCGAGGCCTTTTGGCTATAGAGCTTGAAAGTATTCATCAGATTATAAATGTTTTTACGCAGTCTTTTCATGTTCCATAGCGTCGCATGTTTATTTTTTAGTATATATAGGTATTTCGAAAAATACGAAAAAAGTTTTTACATAGCAACGAGTTTGTTGATGATTAATTAAAGGTTCAGTTACGTATCTGCCGCCGTACAACAAAGGTGTGTATTGTTTTTTTTAATTTTTTCTTTTATCAAATATTCACTAATTTATTTAAATGAATTGATGATTTAAAAATGCTTTGTTTCTAATAATTTTCTTGTTTTTTTGAACGAAAAATAAAAATTTGTATCTAAAAATCCGCTATGTTAAGTAGCCTGATTTTCGAACAATATTGGGTACACAAAAATTCAAGACACTACAGAAAAATCTAAATGAAGCTTATATTCAAGTTCAAAATCTAAATGAGATAATTCAAGTTCAAAAAAAAAAAAGAAAAAAAAATGGTTTAAAAGATTGACATTGAAAACAATTTGAATGGTAGACTATCTATAAGTTATACTTTCAGGTAAATTGAAACTTATATTTTGCACACAAAGATCTACATATCAATGAGCGTTTTTCGTTACGTCAAATGTAAGTAAATATTTTCCTAACAAACTGATTAGGAATATATTGGTAATGATAATGGTAATACTAATAATAAAAACAAAGATCGTAAGAATTATTATAATAATGAATATTATCATTATGATGATGCTGATAATGGTGGTAGTGGTGGTGGTTGTGGTGGTGGTGATGATGATGATGATGATGATGATGATGATGATGATGATGATGATGGTGATGATGATAATGATAATAATGATGTTTTTTTGTTTTTAGTAAAGTTTTGTGCTAAGCAGTAAAAACAAGAACATTACAACATAAGACGAAATACATTAACTAAATATACTTACACTTCTTTTTCTCTGACAATAGTGCTACTAAGTTTATAACTAGTTAAATAAATAGTCTAATTGATAAGTAAAAATGTTGTAAAATAGGTAAATAAGTAAAAGTTGTGTTGCAATCTTTTTATTTATTTTTAATCATTGACTGTTATGTTTTTTCTGCGTAATTTCTCTTTTATAATATTACAGGTCTTTCAGAATGTGTAATTTTTTTAAGCGTAGGACAATCCAAGTGGCTTGTTGTCCCAGAATTGTCATGATAAGTGATCCATAAGAGGCCAAATTTCACAGAAAATGTATTAACAAGAATCAGAATCATCAGTTTCTTGATTATAGATGCTTGGTTGGGTAACTGGGAACTCACTTCCTTCAACTTCTTCTTCGCTTTCTGGATGATTTCTTTCTCTGCTATCGAGAGCGTATCGTCTCCATGGTAATCTAGTATAAAGTAAAAAGATAACTTAAGTAAGCGAATTAAATGTAAATAAATATTACTCTCTACGGTTTTTATAAGAGAAAAAAATCAAATAAATTAAAACCAGGGAAAAAAGTAAATAAAGTAAGTTTATAGCTTAATACATTCTTAGATTAAATTAATAGTTTGACCATGGCTTGTAAAAAGATTAAAGTGTAAATAGTCTCTACAGATGACACTATTTAGTGGTCTTGGTATTGAGGATCAGTGTCACTATTGTCTACATAAGATATAATAGTGTACGTATAGTCAGGGAGCCAGAGGTTCGAAAAAATATGATTTTTCGTTGTTGGATGGATTTTAAAAACCATAGATTGTTGTCCATATGACGATCCATTGAATAAGCTCGAATGAATTTGGCCAGGAAGATCCTCTTTTATTGCAAAAAAACTTTGAAAACTAATTTTTGTTTTTTATTACCGAAAACACACGGTGAAGTTGTAAAAAGCGAAAAACAAAGAGATATGAAAAAATGAGGGAAGAAAGCGTTTTTTATTGCTGATATTTAGATATCAGTAAGGTATTGGTATTTTTAACAAAATAATCAAGGTCCGTTTTCCAAAAGCAATATGGCAACCTACTACAAAATTTTAATTTAAAAGTATCGAGAGCTGTAAATCCTGTCACAGAAAGCGAATATTGATAAAACTAATTGGAATTGGTAGGTGATAACATTATCTATCATTAAGTCGATTTCCAAAATTTTTTAATAATTGTTTTTTTGTTAGTAACAAAAAACCACTTTTTGTGGTTTGTAATTTCGTCAATTTGCAAGATAGAGCTTTGGAATGAAATGCATACGATTACACCTATTTTTTAATTCATTTAAAAAAAAAATCTATTGTAGGCCCATTAGAAGCCAAGATATGACACTTTCACACTGAAATTAAGCATTCCAGCAACGCCTAAGTGGACCAAATTTGAGCTTAATGTTGGAACAAAACGAGTGCGATGTCAGACCTTATCGATGCAGCAGAGCGACTGATTACTTTGGCCGTCGTACGAATTGCTTATAACAATCAATTTCTAAATAAATATTCTGGCAATTAATGTCTAATTTTTTTTGTCGTATACCTTGGCCCTTGTACAATTAAATATCCAAGTTTCAATCATCTACGTGCAATAGATCAGGCTCAACAACCAAAAACGTAAAAGTATCGTATTCCGGCTTTTGTTGGCATGCAAGGGATTTTTTTTTTTTTTTTTTAATTAATTTAAAAATAGGTGTTTTGCAGTAGGTCACCCTATTGCTTTTGAAAAAGAAGACCTGGTGGATTTTGTTAACAATACTGATACCTATATAATACCCAAACATCAGCAATAAAAAACGATTTCTTCCTTCATTTTTTCATATCTCTTTGTTTTTCGCTTTTTACAACTGTACTGCATGTTTTCGGTTAGAATAATTAATTATCATTTCTTGTAAAAAATTTACCATTACATCTAATCATCAGTTAAACAACTTTAGTATTTAACTTTTTTTGATAAAATACTTCATTTCCGAGATACTATGAGATAACTGAGAAAAAATCAGTTTTCAAAGTTATTTTACAATAAAAAAGGATTTTCCTGACCAAGTTCATTCTAACTTTTTTAATGGATTATATGGACAACAATCTATAGTTTTTGTGCATGTACATGTTTGAGTACAATAGCAACACCTATAGTATTAAATGTACAGCGCTTAGCATTCGTACGTGATGAGAAATGCTTTAGGTGAATAACTTTTTTTGTAATAAACATCAGAATTTTGTCTCTATTTTTAATTTACAACTAATCAATTCATATAGTTTTGATTGGTATTGCTCCCAAAATCAAAAAAGTACATGTATTTATTTAATCTATCTTAAAATTATTGTACGTGCATAGATAAGATGCTTCGATTTTAAGAAAGCGATCTCCCTTTACTTCCTAAAAGAATAAAAATACCATGACTTGGGTAACACAATAGATACCGTACGTTTTTGACAAGAAGATTTCTAGTTGACCTTCAAGTTGAAATGTTTGTTTCATCCGCAAGCAGTTTAAATTAAAAAGTACGAAAAAATTGGCCGTCAGAGGTCACACTAAAGATTTTTCTTGGATACTCCCAGCTAGCCGTGCAAGCACAAAACAACTTTTCTCTCTCTCCAAGCAGGTGAGTAGGAGTAGGGAAGACCTCTCCCTGACCTTTAACTTGAGCCCCGCCCACTTTCTACAACTTAAATACATTCTTCGACTCCCCTAAAGCATAGCTGCCAATGGTCTAGTGGACTATGACTTATTCTCGAGATTCAAATCTGTCTCAGGACAATTCGATTTTTTTTCTTTTTTTCATGTACATATTTTAAAATAAATCAAATCAAGAAAATAAAATTTAACCGACAATGAAAGGACTAAAGAAAATTGTTTTCTGTAAAAAATTAAAGTTAATGATAACAAACTTTTTGTATTAAGAGTAATTCTTGGTATAAAAACTCTCTTTCCAATTTTTTATAATTTTTGCTTTAATGTTGTATTTAAGTAATTTTCTAATTTGTTATCTTGTACCGTTACATAAGCTATCAACTATACTTTAATTTCGTATCAACATAACAATTGCTCCAATTTTCAAATTAAGCTTATGCCGTGGTAAGTTTTCATGAACATTGTTTAGAAATTCATTTGGAAAATTTGTATAAATATCATTATCAGATTTGTTAACACTTATAAGTAGCATCATCTATGCTGTAATGTTTTTATTTTTCCTTTTACATGATTTAGAATTTTTTATTTAAAAAGTAAGTGTACTTATTATTAAAGGTTAAGTATAACGTTATTCATTGAAAAGTTAAAATCTTTACTAAAAATAACGGAACAAACATCAGTTGTCTACCATTTATTTGGTACTTAAAATAATTCAATTTTTCCTACTCCAAATATCTAAGAATAATTTTAAAACTGTTTTGTTAATTAAACGAATATTGATATTAATTTGTAGAATACGAAACAACGACTAAATATGTAACGAGTAAATACTTTCTTGTATAATCATGCTTCCATTACTATTTTTAAAAACTGCAAGAATCTGTCAGAAATCGCCTCCTAAAATGATTGATTTATTACCAAAATGGATATTTGTATCACATAAATCACGTAATGTTTTCTTAACTATTTCTAAGGCTTTTTAAGGCCTCGTCTCATATAATTAAATCTTCTTCTTTCAATTTTTTAGAACGAAGTTCTTTATGTCACGTGCTTAGGGGGTTAGAATTTTAAAAACGACAGATTTTTATGAAACAAAAGTCGCTTTCTCCTAATTTATTTTATTTCTCCCCTTACCCCGTCACCGTCACCATCAGTCCCCTACACACTTCCCCTCACCCTCTCTCTTCCAACCGTGCTACCCTAGTCTCCTGCACACCTCCTCTCATCACTCCCCGTTCTGTCTCGCCCCGCCATTCCCCTTCATACTTCACACTACACCATCAAAGCACATACACCAAGCAATTAATGTTTTATTCAATCATAATTTTTTTCCCCACAATAATTTTTATTTAACTTTAAATTTCCAAAGAGACTCAAACCGCCGCCCGACCTCCTACTTTCTGACCACGGCCCTTACCTACTCTGCTATGAGTAGGCCCAACGTAACAGAATCAATTGCTTCATGTTATCTTACAGTTTGTAACTTATTTTTCATAGAAATTTTTATTTAATGTACATTAATTCATTTGGTTTAGTTATAAATTAAATAAATAAACAATTTACTTAATAAAATAATTTTTTTACAATCCCTTCACATTTTTTCAAAATTTTTAAAAATTATAAAAAATTTTTTTGTACTGTACGAATACAATAATTGATTTGATTGTATTTTATTCTTTTGAAAATTTTTAATTCGTGATTCAAGTGGTTTTTTGATTTAAGGACGTTTATCACATAGTTTGTGGGGGAAAGTTCAGAGAAATGACAGGAACGCTAATGTGTACAGTAAAGTTAACAATTCTTTTTCTTATGTGGATGTATGTATGTATGTGTGTATGTAAATTTTTTTTATGTACGTACTCATATACGTGCTTTCACACACACCTTATCCCCTCTTTTAAAATTTAATTAAATTTTAATTTGTGGGTCTATTTGAAAATTCGATAGGTTTTTCTTAAAGAAATCTTTTGTACCCAAAATATTAAGAAATTCCTAAAAATCGTATGAATGCAATTGGACGTAATTTTTTCATATGGTTACATGTTAAATATCTATTTTTTTAAATGTATCGCGTATAAAATAATGGTACAGTCAAACGAGCTGCAATGTTCGTGGGTATTTTTTATGCTATTACAATATACGTTCGACGTTTGAATAATATCTGTACTCATGATGGTTAAACGTCGTAAGTACTGTATTTATGCTCGATGTTCTCACGAAGTTTAACCATCGTGAGTACTGAACTAATTGAAATTTTTTTTTTTTTTTTATTCGTTTTTCAAGGTTTTTTTTACTGAACTACATGAATGCAGTACTTATTTTTATAGAGATTCGTTCTTGCTATGGGTCTCGCGACCTCCTTGTTACCTGAAAAATTGTATGTCTTTATAATTATCTCATATTTGAAGAACTTTGCTCTTACCGTAGGTCCTATGACCCATTTATAATTCCTGGTTTGTTTCTTTTTTTTTCAGATTAAAATTCCAAGAATAAACTTTCTATATTGTTTAAGTCTAATGGTAAACAGAATGTTCTGTGTCTAGTCATTCTTTTTAGAAGAAATATTGATGCTATACCAGTCCATGCCATAGATGAATTTTTTTTTCCAGGAGAAATGAAATAATGAATTAAAGTTTTACATAGAAATGTTTTTCCTGAACTTCTTAGGCCATCAATAAAATAAATTTTTTCTGTTTGTTCACATATAATTTTAAAAGTAGTGATTTACGATCAGAGAGATTCATAACGGCCAGAGAGAATAACCACTATTTTTTCATTTTTATTAATCCTATGAATA